AAACTTATCTTTTCGAAATTTATTACAAAAATTGGCAAAAAAACTTAGAGCCAATGAACTGTTGTATATAGTTTTCGTTTGCACTCTGAGCATGTTTTGAGGATTTGGCCGTATATATAAATGGTCTATCATTGAGTCAAGTGTCGTGGTTTCATTTCCCCGGTTGTACGTAACAAGGAGTAAGGTCGCCTGTACCCCCCCCCCCGCCCCGCCCCTCCTTCTCCTCCTCCTCCTCCTCCACCATTGCCAAAGACCCCTACGTGCAAACGAATTATTGAAATACAATTTAATCATATGTTAGTGCAAAGATGACATCGTTTGTGTTGAGTGGACATTAATCCCCACTTCTCTCTCTATTGACACTGTAGGTAGACCATAAAATTCTGCTGAATTTGGCATGGTTGACTCTTCTGCAAAAATACTGAAACCATAACTTGAAAACCGTGGACAATGTGTTTTTGTTGATGAATTCAAATCAAAGAAGGTTGGACTGCTTCAAGGAGTACCTCAGAACAGCAGGACGTTAAACCCCATTTCACTTCATTTCAAGGATTACCCCAAGGATCTGTTTAGGCCCAATTCTGTTTTGTCTGTATACTACAAAACCGCTCAGTTCAATAATTGTCAAGAAATATGGTCTTCTGCTCCATCTGTACGCAGATGACACACATTTATACTTTTAAACTTGTAAATAATAACATTGATTTTCCAAAAGGCAGCATTGAAAGTTGTATATCGGAACTAAAGTCAAAGTTACCTCTGTTTTGTGTAAACTTAAGATTCTCTTGAGAGAGCAAAAACCGTGTTGCCTCCACGGACGCCATCTTGTATTCCTCTGTTTTGTCTGTATACTACAAAACCGCTCAGTTCAATAATTGTCAAGAAATAACAACGTAAATAGTGACCCCTCTGTAAATGACGACATGAATATTCTCGAAGCCATCAAAAATCTTCATCGTGAAATGGTCGACATCAAGGTGTCTGTGAGAGAAATCGCCGATATAAACAAACGAATGGTTCAAATTTCTGATAATGTAGATGTCCTATCTGTACAGATGAAAAGCCTACAAGATGATAATATACATATGAAGGAAGAAAGAGATAGAAACGAGAAGAAAATTTGCGATTTAGAGAAGAAGATAGAAAGTATGGAGAATGACAACAAGAGATACAACATGATTATTACAGGGTTAGATGTAACCAAACAGGACAGCCGAAACATCAGAGAATTGAAGGTGGGAAATTATGTTCATACTGAACTTGAATTGCCAAATATTATGTTTGAATATACGGTATTTCTGAACAACAGCCGTAAATCGGTGTTGGTTAAACTAAAGAATTTGAAAGATAAACAATTGATCTTCGAGAAAGCGAAAGAAATTCGTAACACTTCTTCTGTCCATGTAGCAAATGATTTTTCTTTTTCTGTCAGACAAAAACGTAAGGAACTGATTCCATTCATGCTAGATGCCAGGGAAGGTGGTAAAACAGCGGGACTAAAATCTGATAAACTTGAAATCGACGGCAAATTATTCTCCCTAGAGCAACTTCAAAATCAGTGATATGTAGGTCAGACCAGTCACACACCTGTTTTTGATGATAGGCTTTGTATAAACAATGACAATAACGACTGTCACAACACTGTAATTGGAAAACTAAAATGTGTCTGCTGGAATGTTAACGGACTAAAAAGCAAATTATTAGATAAAGATTTTCTGAAGTATTTATTAGAATTTGATGTGATATGTCTCATAGAAACATGGTGTGGCAGCGAGGCCGATTTAGTGTCTATTTTCTCCAATTACTCTGCAGTTTGGTGTGTGAGGGATAGTGGGCGTAATAGGGGTGGTATATGTGTTTTATTTCAACATAGAATAGCATGTGGTATTCTGAAACTAAGCTACAAATTTCGTGAAAAAATATTCCTTAAATTTGACAGAACTTTTTTCGGCTGGAATGAAGATGTTGTGCTTGGTGTTGTTTATATCGCACCTGAATGTTCACCTATACATAAGGAAATCGACGGACTTGATTTACTGGAAGAAGATTTATTAAAGGTACGCAGTGATTATCTGGTTGAAAACATTGTACTAACAGGTGATTTCAACGCTCGGACAGGTAACGGTACATTACACGATTTTGTGTATGATGACTCTGTAAAATATATTCCCGGACTTGATGATGCGGACTACAATGTAGATTCGTTTAGTCAGGGTAGGATATCTAAAGATACCGAAGTAAATAAATATGGTAGGAAACTGTTGTCTTTGTGTGCTTACAACAACATTCACATTGTTAACGGTAGGTGTAATAGCGATTCAAACGGCGAATTTACCTGTATTCGATACAACGGAGCTAGCGTAGTCGATTATGTAATAGTCTCTTCAGAATTTTTCATAAATATTACAAACTTTCGTGTTGGTCTTCGTACGGAGTCAGACCACCTGCCATTGTTGTTTGATGTTAACTGCCATATACTGCATGGGAATGAGACTGACCGTGATGATATTAAAACAACCCCTTATCAAAAAATTAAATGGAATCAGAATGTGTCTAAACAGTTTATCCACAGGTTCACAATAGGATTTGATAAATTTAATACAGATTTTTCAGAGCATCTACAGAGAAATGCGGATGATGCAGTCTTGTTTCTAGAACACCATATTAACAACTGTGTTGAACATAACCCTCCAGGTGACACTAGGGTAAAATATCAGAGGAAACAGCCTGTGTGGTTCGACCGGGAGTGTAATGATCTTAAAGCTATAAAGTATGATTGTCTTAATAAATTTAGACTCCGGAACACAGACCAATCTCTGTGTGTGTACAAGGAAGCAAAACGTAAATTTAAAAACTTATGCAAACAGAAAAAGCACGAGCATACTCAAAATATTTATTCTGATCTGTTAGTTGATATTCAAGATAAGTCAAAATTCTGGAAAACTCTTAGAAATGTTAGAACAAGGCCATCATCTCTGTCTGGGATAACACCACGCCAATGGTTTCAATATTTTGAAAAATTACTAAATAATAATGCTGGTGATACCCATGATAGAGGTCATTATGACCTTGACTATGACGTTGATAGGAATAATGATGGTTATGAGGTATTGAATGTGCCTATCACTAAAGATGAGGTGTTCAGATGTATTCAGCAAATGAAGTCAGGGAAAGCCCCTGGACCAGATGGGATCTGTATTGATTTAATTAAGTCATGTCCATTATTGTTCTCAGATATTTTGACAAATCTGTTCAACTTTGTATTTAATTCAGATTCATATTTTCCAAGTTCTTGGTCAAATGCTTTGATAGTTCCCTTACATAAGAAAGGTAGCAAATCTGTAACCAGTAATTACAGGGGGTATATCCCTATTAGATAATATTGGTAAAATTTATGCATCAGTTCTGAATTGTAGGTTAAAGGACTGGTCGGAGTGTTTTGATAAGTATGACGAAGCGCAAGCTGGATACAGACCACATTACTCAACTGTTGACCACATATTTACATTGAATGGCCTAATTGAGAAGTATCTTTCCAAATCCAAGGACAGATTTTACTGCATGTTCGTGGACTTTTCTAAAGCTTTTGACTGCGTAAATCGGGTCAAATTGATGAATTTACTTCTCAAGAAGGACATTCGAGGTAATATGCATAAAGCGCTATGCAATATGTATAAATCAGTGACCTCATCTGTCAAGTTAGGCAGTGAAACCACACCTTCTTTTGACTGTCATACTGGTGTCAGGCAGGGGTGTGTTTTAAGCCCAATCCTATTCTGCTTCTATTTAAATCAGTTATTAGAATTGCTTGAGAAAAGTAATGTACGAGGAATATTCACTGTTAGTGACGTGAATGATATTCTAGCACTTTTATATGCAGACGACCTCAGTCTTGTGGCTGACACAATTGGTGACCTTCAAAAGAAAATCAATGTCTTAGAAAATTTTTGTGAGTACTCTGAACTGTCTGTAAATATTGATAAAACAAAAATTATTGTTTTCCGAAATGGGGGCATAATAAAGAAAAGTGAAAAGTGGTACTTTAAAGGGACAAAGGTTGATTGTGTCACATATTACAGTTACTTAGGTCTCTTGTTTTCTTCCAGGTTGCACTGGGGTAAATGTCTTCTGAACTTGTCACTTAAAGCCGAAAAAGCTCTTATTCCTATTATGTCTTTCATTGCAAAAACAGGTCACCCTCATCCGAAGGTATCCTTTAAAATATTTGATGCTATAATCAAGCCGGTTCTACTGTACGGTTCACAGCTTTGGGGATTTCAGTACAGACCTGATATAGAACGTGTTCATACGAGCTTTTGTAAGTTTGTGTTAGGTATACATAAATCTTCTACCAGTGCTGGAGCAGTAGGAGAATGTGGACGACATAGCCTCAGTGTTTATTACATACTGTCTTGTATAAAATATTGGTGCATTTTAATCAATATGAATATAGACCGTTATCCAAAACAGGTGTATCTAATGTTAAAAAATCTAGATTTTAATTTGGGCCGGGAAACATGGGTTACTCATTTGAGAATGATGTTATTCTCACTTGGTTTTAGTTTTATATTCTACTCTGAAAGTATTGGTAATGTAAGAAAATTTACACAATCAGTGAAATTAAGGCTTAAGGATATTGATATTCAAGATTGGTCAGCTAAGTTAATATCACATGATAGTCTTACTGAATACAGTAATTTTAAACTTGAGCTCAGACAAGAGCACTATTTATCTTGTAATGTGGGAATAAAGCTGAGGCGTAATATCACACGATTGCGCTTAAACCTGTTACCACTCTCAGCAAATTTATTTAAAAGAGGTATTCTTAAGAACCAAATATGTCCTTTATGTAATGAAGGGAATGAAAACTTATACCATTTTATGTTTACTTGTAACAATCTGACCGATTTAAGAGTTAAATACCTTCCACCAGACTACATTAGAGACTATTATGATGTAAATCTTCTATATAAGTTATGCACTGTTAGAGATAGATCATTATTGATATCTATAGCACTGTATATAGAGGAGGCGTTGTGTTCTAGACAGGTATAGTTGTTATTCGTTATTAACTCCAATGGCACCCCATCTTGTTATTACCTATTGATATATACATGTATATACTCAATAACAGAATAATAATATTTATTATAGACATATATATATATATATATGTATGTTATATTCTATGTACTATGGGTCTATGACCTTGTATCACTGAATAAAGTATTATTATTATTATTATTATTATTATCGGAACTAAATCATGGATTTCATCAACCGTTTTAAATTTTAATTCCTAGAAAACAGAATATGGGTTTATTGCCTACCAATATTTCTCCCCAAATTTGCGGCGTTTTTTTTTTTAGACATTTGGTTTCAGGTTGGAGCACTTTTCTATGGAAAACCAAATAGCTCTTTATTCATTGTTCTTAATTCTTAGTTCTTAATTCATAGTACTTATGTCTACATTGTTGTCGTATTTCGACATTCGTACACTAAGTTAACATTTGTATCTTAAAATTAAATTTGTTGTTCGAGGTTTGTTTTTCGTTGTATTTCTCTGATGAAACGTAAATGTAAGCTAATTTTTTGATTTGCTAAAATAAATTTTATCTTTTTATTAAAATGTCTGATTTTTAAAACAAATATTGATTTTAAGATACAAATGTTAATTTTAGCGTACAAATGTCGAAATACGACAACAAATGAAGAAATATGAATTAAGGACTATGAATTAAGAACTAAGAACGCTGAATAAAGAGCTGTTTGGTCTTCCATACTTTTCAATGTGGTTTTCCCTGTCAGTTGTGCAAGGACAGGGGGTCTGACAAGTTGGTTTTGGAATTCTAGAGTAAGCAGAATTAAACTCCACTGTCTGGGAAAAAAACTCTCACATAGCTCACGGCATGGCATTTGCCCGTATTCATTAAGTCTTGATTATTCCATAATAATAGGAAGGGGATCACGTGGGTAAGACGCTGGCTCGTTAGCCTGGGGGTCGGGTGTTCGATCCCTGCATTGGCCGAGAAAGTTCATTCAGATTTTCCGGCGTGGTTTCCCCTTGTCAGTGATGCAGGATGGAGGGCCTGACAAGGACAGCTGTCTAGTCGTTCGGAAGGGATGGAAAACCGAGGTCCCGTGTACATTGGCGTGCGCGTAAAAGATCCCTTGGCAGTTGGAATTCGATATAAGAGTTGGCCGTTGCGCCGTTGCGCCGCTGCCCGGGCAAAATTTCCCTCATAGCACACTGTATGGCGTATGCCCGTCTTCATTAGCCCAGGTTAGGAGCAGAACAGTAGGACGTTAAACCCCATTTCACTTCATTTCTCCATATTAATATGAAATGTCTTTGCTTTACTACATTTAGGTTTGCTTAGATACTAACGAAATCTATTACAACGGCTAATTCATTTCTTATATGTATGAGAGTACAGAGTGCGTTCATTTCGCGATCGTTAGTCCTGATTATTTTCTCTTAGATTATAATATGTTCTACGGAAGCCCATTAGGGTCAATCAAATGAAAAAAAAAATCTGATTATCTTGTTATTACAAGATACGGAGAAGCCCATGAATAACCCATTTTAAGGTCGACATACACCGATTTATCTAATAGCTAGGCCAACGCCGTACTTTATTTTATGTTACAGAATTGGCACATTCATGTCATGCTACCATAAATATCATTCGTTATTTTCATGCCTCGATTAAAATCATAAAGTTCATACTCTCATTAACTTCATACTCCCACCAACTTCATATTAATATCATGATTCATCAATTTCAATGCCCTCCTTAAAGCCACAGAACGCTATTTATATTTTTCGGAAAACCTCTTTAAATTTTGATTTTTGGCTGTTTTCAATTCAACAGGAAATTAAAAACTATGCGAAGTCAAAACGAACTAAAACAAAAAATTTTTTTACGGTTAATCATCAACGGCCATTGAACAGCAGATATGATTCAAATCTGTTGAAAATCGGAGTTGATTATTGTCTTATCATGTTAATAAATGTCTAATTAATAGTTTATATAACATTTCAGGCCTAAAGAAAGACCTCCGATAGGCAGATCTAGCTCTGGCATAATGTATGTTTTAAGGAGCTAAGTCTCTAACCCAATATTTTCCGTAATATTTGAAATTAAAACACGAATTAGAATTCAATATTGATCAATTTCAATCAATATTGATGTTGTTATCTTGCCGTGAAACTAGATGATCCTAATATCCAATTATTATCAGTACCCTATGGTTTCGGGTGCCAATTTGTAATGAACAAATAAAAACATATCCTACAACATAATGTGGAAGTAATTAGTAAAGGCTGATTCACAAACGACAAAATAATTACAAGATAGGCTATATTAGGCTATCTTGTAATTACAAGATAGTCAGAATATTTCTTTTTTTTTCATTTGATTGATCCTAATGGTCTTCCGTAATGTTCATATTGTTAAGAATCAGTCGATGTTTTTCGTATCAATGTCAATTCGTTATCAAATAGATAATATATCTGTCGCATTTGTAATTTTCAGCCTTCACGTAACTCGCCGTTATATGAATCGATGATATCTGACCACTATGTTCGCAGGTTAAGTTGAAATTATATAGTTGAGAACCAATTGAAGGAGCAATAATTAGGTAAGCCAATGTGTTAGAGGGTTATTAATGGATATTTGATATTTTCCCCATTGTTTACTCGTGTATTATGGTTTATTTTAAAGCCCCAACGTGCCAGAATAAAGGTTACATTTATAGAGTTTTAAATCGATCAATTCTAACATAGGTGATTGATGTCACGGGGATATCTTTATTCTTTAACTCTCAATAAGAAATATAGTAATGCGAATTGTGGTATCTTTTTGTACCTGGTACCTTTTGTGCCTTTACTTTAAAATTGTACCTGTGGGGGTTTGTTCACTTTGAAAATACATATCTGACTTGTTCTACCATTAAGAGGACTGATTCTAATTATGCTTTCACTAAAGATAAAAACTACACAAGGAACTCTTTGTAAGCTTGCAAAAATAACTTTTGATTTTACACGATTTCGTCTAAGTTTAAAGGACAATATTGGTGCCAGTCATTATCACATATGTGATAGAACTGGTTAAACACGTTCCAAATATTATTTTATCACAGAGATCATTGATTACTCATCTATCGTAACAAAAACACTCTGACAGACATTTCTAGTAGTGGGGTACCCCTGACAGAGCTATGTAATTGCCAGACATTTGTAGTGGTGGAGTATCCCTGACAAGAGTTATCTAATATTTAGACCAAAGCTAGGCTAGATTAGCTCAAATCTGTACCACCTAAAACAGATTTTGAGTTGTTCAGTACCACCACAGGAGTCATGAATGACCACTGACAGACAGTTTGTGTGGTGGGTTACCCCTAACAGACACGCCCCAAAATGCCACGCCCCCAACTAGGCTAACTTCGCAAGCACTGTTCCCGTGTTTTAAGAAATTAAATTTTTAGCCAGGATGCGTAGAATACTAATACCTAGCACGTATGGAAGAGACGATAAACTGCGGTTGCAAGAAATTGATTTTTGGGGAAAAAAACGTTTTATGGGGCTAAAAATGCATTTTTGAAATAAAAAATGTTCCTGCAACCGCAGTTTATCGCCTCTTGAATACGTGCTAGGTATTAGTAATCTACGCATCCTGACACAATTTTTAAATTTTTGGACCACGGGAACAGTGCCGGCTAATCTATCCTAGTTGGAGGGCGTGGCATTTTGGGCGTGTCTATTAGGGGTAACCCACCGCACAAACTGTCTGGCAGTGGTCATTCACGATTCCTCTTGTGGTACTGAACAACTCCAAAGCTGTTTTAGGTGGTAAAAATTTGAGCTAATCTAGCCTAGCTTTGGTCTGGAAATTAGATAACTCTTGTCAGGGATACTCCATCACTACAAATGTCTGGCAATTACATAGCTCTGTCAGGGGTACCCCATCACTAGAAATGTCTGTCAGAGTGTTTTTGTAATACCTGAAGATGTACGGTACATTGCTGTGCGATTTTCACGTGGTACACTTTTGAGCTAATCTAGCCTATTTGGGGGTCATGGCATTTTGGGCGTGGAATACCACACCCACCACCAGAAACCCGGCAGACTTACATTCTGATGATACCAGATATACATGCATTGATACCATATAGGAGAAAATTGGTACACTTTTCAGCTAGGTTAACCCCCTGGGCTCCCGCTCTAATTGGGACACCCAGGTACCACTATAACGCCAGCAAGGGCCTTATTATCGGATTTCTCGGCAGATCCACATGGGTTTGTTTACGTGGTTTCAGATATAACCAACGGTGGCATTTATTGAAGCAAATTTTAAATTCCAAATGTCTAAGGGATTATTGCCAATATTCATTAGTGCACGGTACCACTGTTTTCTGACCAACCTTAAAGTCATTCTGAAATCCCAAGCTGTTTATGACCAATACGCCTTGATGTTTCAAACTGTTTCGTCGTTTCTAGAAATCATAAAACCATTAGAGATCAGGGCATAGGCTATGCTAAAGATGAAGGTGATACTTGATGTTGATCCTGGCGATGATGATGCCCAGGCTTTGATGTTCATCCTCAACAACCCAGCCATAGAGATCATTGGTATAACTTGTGTTCGTGGTAATGTTGAGCTGGACAAAGTCTGTGTTAACATTCTGAGAATACTGAAAGTATGTGGTAGACTTGATGTAAGTATATATAAATTCAACAAAAACTACTGTCTACAGAACGTTTGTTTCCTCCATACAATGGAGGCTAATACATATAACACATCCGAAGGCATCTAACTGTCTAGGGTAGCCACGCCATTCATCCCCACTCCCGTTGGCACCCTTTGTGAAAACCAACTAAATATAAAACTAGAACTGCGATGCAGTAATGACGGGGTTCACCGGTGCCACGTTAACCTTGAACTGACCCGACTTTCCGTACCAATGGAAACGTTAAACAGATTTCCACTTACGCATTGCCCACGTGTAATAAAATGGACGCAGAATTATGCCGATAAATCCAGCAATATAAATTCCATTTATAGAAAGAAGACTCGACACAATGACATCACTTCCATTATCAAAAAAATATTTAATTTCGATTACAGAAACAACCACTTCGAATGTCCTTTGCGTGACAGAAAATTGATTAAAATTTGAAAAAAATCAACAGTTTATAAAACTTTATTAATATGCGAAAAAAATTGACACTTTTATAGACCAAAAATCCTTGAAAAGCGACTTCTAGAATATCGTCTATTTCTCTGCAACCGAACACGTTAGAAACCATTTTGTGGTATCTGTATGATCGTTTTTATGGGTTCATTCTGTTAGTTGATTGGAATCAAATATCAATATTTTAAAACATTACAAATCAGATTTATTTGAATAAAATATCTGTTTTGAGGGCTAGTAGAAAATCGACTATTTCTCCGCAACTGAACATGTTAGAAACCATTTTGTAATATCTATATGACCGTATCATTTTTATTGATATGTTAATTTAAACTAAAAGTTTTTAATACATATTAAATAATTCTTAGTTGAGAAAAAAATAGTAATTTTAAAGGTTAAAAATACAGTTATTGACGGAATGGCGTCACTTCCGGTGTCAATTTTAAATTGTAATCAATTTGATATGGCGCATATTTGCTTTTTGAATCAAATGGTGCCACTTTTATGAAAATCCAATAATAATTGACTATTTTACAGGCAAAATAACGAAAACAGTGACTTATGCAAAATTGCCTATTTCTAGGGAACTGCTTATATTACAAACTAATTATAACATTCATTTTCTTCGTATGGATTATAGCTACAAGTTTATATAAGTTACGAAGAAATATTTGAAAATCTGAAAAGCCTGAATGAGTTGTAAATAGCTCAATTTTACACCTTTTTTCGCCTCTAAATGGAATTTGCCCGAAAATGAAATCGAAATTAAATAAACTGAGCTCACTATCCAGTGCAACTTTACAGAGCACACCTTTTTAGTTATATCAGATTTTGTTGTAGTTTTTGGTAAAATTACGCCACTTCGGGTGCCGACAGGAAACTCTATCGGTAACAAAAATAAAAATGATAATTGAGACAATGGAGCATATGAACTTTGTTTTATACCAATCGAACAATAAATAAGATTAAAATCTAGGACCGAAAAACTTAATAAGCCAATAGAAGGACCACATTTTTGCTCAAGTCAGATGACGCTATAATCTTGTGTAAAACACACCAAAAAATATTCATAAATAAAAATGATTTTTGTAAAAATTTTAATTTTCTAAGCTTGGCGCCTAATATCTACGAAATTTGCCGAAAATCAAAAGTAGCGTAGCTATGTTCCCTGTCTCCGGCTATGCCAAAATGCATCGAAAGTTAAAATTCGACGATTATTGTTAAAATTACTGCGATATTGTGAAAATAATGACAGTTTTATGAAAATCGAAAAATAATTGATACTTTTATGGACCAAAAATCTTGAAAAGTGACTAGTAGAAAATCGTCTATTTTTCTGCAATCGTACAAGTTAGAAACCATTTTGTGATATCTATATGACCGTATTCTTTTTATTTATCTGTTGATTTAAACTGAAAGTTAAAGTTTTCACAACGTAGTTAGTAATTATCAGTTGAAAAAAAATATCGATTTTAAATTTTAAAAATACAGTTTTTGATAAAATTGCGCCACTTCCGGTGTCAATTTTGAATTGTAATCAATTTGATATAAAGCACATTCGTTTATGCCTCAAGTGGTGTCACTTTTATGAAAATCCAATAATAACAGACTTTTTTACTGGAAACATAACATGAAGAGTGACTCATGCAAAATTGCCTATATCTCGGCAACTACTCATTTATTATTACAAACTAATTTTAACATACATTGTCTTCGTATGGATTAATGCTACAAGTTTATGAAAGTTACGAACAAATATTTTAAAATATGAAGACGCTAACCGGGTTGTAAATAGCTTAATTTTACACCTTTTTTCACCTTTTAATCGAAATTGCCCGACAATGAAATCGAAATTAAAAAATCTGAGCTCAGGATTTTGTGCGCCTTTACAGGGTGCACCCTTTTAGTTATATCAAATTTTGAACAAAATAATATTTGCTTTCAAAAAGTGGTACCGAACTGTCCTAATTGTAGATTTTGGTAAAATTACGTCACTTCCTGTGCCGACAGGAAACTCTATCGGTAACAAAAAAATGACAATTGAGACCACGGAGCATATCAACTTTGTTTTATACAAATCGAACAATCAATAATAAATCTAGGACCGAAAAGCTAAATTACCAATGGCGGCTAACGCAAATTACCGAGACATTTTTTCACATTTTTGCTCAAGTAAGACGACTCTTTAATCCCGTGTAAAATACCATCAACAAATATTCATAAATAAAAAAGTTTTTTGTAAAAATTTAAAATTTCTAAATTTGGCGCCTAATATCTACGAAGATTTGCCGAAAATCAAGGCAATATTTTTCAAAACGACAATTTCGGTGATTTCGAGCATTTCGTATTGTCGCAGAACGTTCAAAACACCTCTATCCTCTAGGTCACACCCACTTTTCCAGTTAAACCGAAGACTTCGTAACGATGCGACGAATAGTTGCTGAGATCTAATCAAAATAAAAGAAGAAAAATAATAATAATAAAAATAATAATCCGAACAGTGTGAAACACTAACTAAAATATAAAAAATTCAAATATCTTCATCTTTTTATTGCGATTTACTTGAAATTATGCAGATTTATTACGAAATGCAGAGCCGGATTAAAATTATGTAGGCCCCAGAAAGATAGTTATGTCTTATGAATTTTATCAACTCACACTCTAACTTGTTAAGACCTTCACGTCTGCAACCAGGACCTATTTTAAGGTTTTATTGGCAAAGCACGTTTTCCGATGTTTTAGGGTTTCGTGAAAATTTCCAAAATTTTGCCTCCCATAACACGATATCACGCTTACACTTTTATAACCAAAATATAACAGGATTAATATACATGTATTTATATCTATAACCGCGTTTCAGTATCATTAGCAGTCCAAAGTCGATCAAAAGGCACCTGCACCTGACAATGTGGTGGTGGGAATACTTTAACAATATAAAACGTTTGAAACAGAAATCGAAATTGGTGGATGATCATAATGATAGCCCAGTTTGCTCGTATACAATCTTCTCAGATTCACAAGGCTACATAACATTTTTTCAAAGCACGGCTTTCAGATTTTCAAAGCACGGCACAAAATATGTGAACATTTAGGAGAATTGGTTTTAATTGTGGACCACTAATGTCACGAAGGTAAATAAAATGTTAACTAATATACAAATTCAAATATCCGATATGGAATAAGCTCTATTCATTAACCAGTGAAACATTTTATTTCTAGATTCCTGTATATAGAGGAGCAGACCAATTCCTGATGGGTGGTACTACCGATGCTGCGGGTTTTCATGGTAATGACGGTCTAGGAGATGTAGATTGGTCTGATGAAGTTGACATGGAGCTTATCCAGCCTGAACATGCTGTGAACGCACTAACCAGAATGGCGAGAAAGCATTCGGGTAGGATATTTTTTGTACAGCTTCAAATTATCATAGTTAAAAACCTAATATTTATGATAATAAACCCTGTATTGTATTCGTAACTAAACTGAGAAAAAATAACCAAGCTCAGAAGCACCAAGACCTAAATATTAGGGTTCTTCATCTCACCAATGTAAATGACATATATCAATTTCAAAACAATCAACGTTCGAATTGTATACCAAATAATACATTTTATAGGGGGGCTAATATAACCATTTGTATTTATTCTTATCTTTCAAGGCGACGTTTCGCTGATTACATTGGGTCCCTTGACAAACATAGCTTTGGCAATTCGGATGGATTCATCATTTGGTGAACAATTTAAAGCAGTCTATATGATGGGTGGAAATTTCGAAGGTAATCGTTTAAAATTTTCTTACATTATATTACGTTATGAATTGCGGCCTGTAGGCGACAAAAAGACACACACAATTTGGGCGTGGCTCTGTCCCTGGGAATAGGGCATGCACTAAAAACAATAGGGGTCATCCTTATGGTATTAGGAATAAGTATGCAGAGTTTCAAGACGATCCGTCAACCCTCCCCCCCCCCCACACACACACACACAGACAGGGGCGACGGCAATATACGTCCACATTATGAATGAGGACGTATAAAAATGGGCTGAAAATGCAACATAAAATACTTAATGGAAATGATAGAATTTAAAAACAATTCGTACTTGAACATGATTTATTTTAAAACGTTTTTACATAGTGTGTTATAATACATTGTAACAATGTGACCGTTAACTTTATTATTTCCTTTTAAAAATAAGTCTGAAAGTCAACATCTTTTAGCACTGACAAATGTGACTTAAACACTGTACATGTAGCTTATCATGCGGGCAGATAACTCGATTTAAACTAGGAATCGAGACTATGTCACATGATTTAATGACAGACCTAACTCACACTCGTTATATCATGCACGTTATTTGATTTTCTATATTTTCCTCTTATCCACACACATTTTTTAGGATTTAAATCCGTTTTCCATTACTGACTATTATCAAATTTGCTCGCCCGTTTATTTTATATGAACAAAGTTATCAATATCATGTACATTTGGTAAGAAAAATGTTCCCACGAATTTTTTAATATCATTAGTTTAAAGTAAAAGACAGATATACAGACAGATTGTTAAAATACTTTATATCTTAGATGTCCTTTGAGAACTACTAGTAACATTTTAAAACCTAAATTTAATTCAATGTTATGTTGTTATAGACTTACATTTACAAACCACCGAAGCATCAGATGTACCACTGCATTCTCCGGGTTTAAATTCTGGATCCTTGCAATTTGTTAGTGACGACTCAGTTCCGTTACAATTAATATTAGATACCAGAACAGGGCCCGAACCTTTACCAAAATCAACATTAACACCAGGATCCCCGCCATCACTATTAAATAGAAAGATAATACACACAGTTGACATTATTTAATCGAAATTCCAACCTGAATCTGACATGTAAACAAAAGACGACATAAAAGATGTAATTGAACAGTTAAGGACTACTATTACTATTCTTCATCAAGTAAAAACTGAAATTCAAAATATAACAGCCTTGGTTGAAGAATCCAATGACCTGAAAGAAAAATATGCAAAATCAAAAACTATAAATAATGAAGTTATTGCTGAAAATAAAAATTTATAATGAGAAATAGCTGGAATAAAACAAGATCAAAATGTTCTCAAACTGAAAATTAATGAAGCAATTGGTATTGCAAATTACAACGAATAATACTCAAGAAAATAGGACTAAATCGAAAGTCGACAAGACACTACACAGGGCAAAATGCAAGTCGAAAATCAGAAATTAGGAAAAATGAGGGGTGCTATTATCGCAGTGTATTATTTCTTAATTTCCTATTTTGAATTCGATTTTGGCTTGTATAGCGTGCTGTCGCCTCACATTTAAGAATGGTAGTTATAGGCTTCTATACATACCTGTTAAATCCTAGATGACGACAAACTACTTGAGCTTCATCCTGTCCAAAACCATCACTACAAACTCGTGTAAATGAACCATTGTGCCATACCACCACTCGTCCTTCTAACCCACTGGGTCTGCCCGCTAATTTAATAGCTGCGGACAAAATATAATTTAATGGCTAATAATATGTGTCGATTTCCTACAGATTTCTCGTGCTTATAAATGAAATGGGATTTACCGTCCAACTTTTCTGGAACGACGGTGCTAATGACGACGGACATATGTCATATACAATGTGCCATAAGGCAATTGTGTCCGGACTATTGTGCTACTGCCTACTGATATTTAAATTTCCAATTGTCATAGGCTCTTTTACATGCACGTCCCATCCGAACAACTAAATACTATCCTTGCCAGGTCCTTTGTCCTGCATCACTAACAAGGAGAAACCACACCGGTTTCTCGGCCAACACCAGTAGCGAACCCGACATCCTGGTTAGCGAGCCAGCTTCTTACTGAGTTACCTACCCTGTGCTTAGAAATATTTAAGCCATATAATTGTATTAATTATCTATATATTTATTAAGATAATAGTGGTATTTTCTTAAGTCATATGAAAAAAGCCCGACGCGAGTGGTATGCGATAAGACAGAAACTATGCTGTACCGAATCCCTGCCGTCTACAGTAATAATAAAACTTTATCATTCTATTGTTAAGCAGATATGATTGACAGATGGGATAAATTTGTAGAAAATAGAAGTACGATCAACATTTGTAAATCCATTCTGAATATGCCTAAGCGTGCCATTAACATTGGGTGTCTAGCTGAATGTGGTATCCATCCACTATCTCTGGACATATATCAGCGTATGCTTCTTTACTTCAAAAGATTCTTATCGGATAATAAAAAGAAACTCCTGATACGTGATTTGTAGCATATTATGAACTTTCTTGTGAAACTGCTGGTTCAAGAAAATCCCTTTGTCATAGCATAGGGATTTTAACCAGATATTTTGAACTTGAACAAAATGACCTAAAACAATTGTGACATAAAATTCGCCACCGAAAAGAAATTTGTCGATCTTTTCCTAATAGTTACTGATCAACAATGTAATAATAATCAAATAGAAGACGAATACCATTTCATATTTGACTGTAATAAATATAACAATCGTAGAAATTCAAAATTTACGCCAATTTTCAAAAGCAATCCACACATCTCGTGCAATATGATTAATGTTTTAAATCCCCCAAAAGAAATTGCTAATCAGGTTGCTTCATATCTGATTTCCATTTCAAAATCGTAAAAGAATGTGAAATAGTGTCATGTCAGTATCACTTTATTTATAAACATGTATCATATTGATTCAAAATTTTAAATTGAACCTACCTGGACAGACCACGAGGCGTCTTGGCCATGATCACAACGATTGTATCCCCAATTTCTATGATAACATTCAGCTACTGTCATGTCAGATGATTGACACAAAACTCCAGACAACCAAATTTGACCAACACCACGTCCAAAAAAGGCTCCGGATAACGCCATCGCCCCGTTTCTAAAAATAGTCCCATATTACATATTTTCAAAATTAATTAATACAAAAAATGCAAATATAAAAGCATATATAAGATACCCGATGTGTAGATGGTGCTGAAATAACACTTCTACATTTGTATACAAATTATCACTTTTTAAAAAGCTACACCTTTAAATTCATATAAAAGTGGCTGATTTACCTCTTGGTTTGACAAGATGTGCGATAGTTTTAACACTGTTCTAAGACTATTTTACACGTACTGTAGTATTAAAACATCCGACAACATCCTTCGCACCCCCACCCCACCACCCTAGCATTGAGGATGGGGGATTGGCCTTAGGGACTCTCTTCCATGTAAATTCAGCACTGCATGTACATGTCTAACGAAAAACGTGATAAGACATCATGCACACAAAACAACTTAATTAGGAATCCCAATTATCATGTTTTACGAACAGAGGTAAGGATGCGCTGTTCCATGCTTGCCATTAAACCTTAGTGATTAATTAAGCTTTGGTGTGATACCAAAACATTTCAGAATTTGTAGAAGCGATAATTTGTTTTGAGAGTGTTAAACAGCTTTATTTAACCTCCACTTCCACTCAACTCAAGTGACAATGGTGTTTGGAAAAGTAGACAAATCTTACGGGCTATATCCAAGTTGTCGACATACAACAGATGCATCTGTAGCGCCCCACTCATCATCACAGATTGTACCCTATTTATTATAATGATACACTTCAACTCTTCCTTCATGTCGCCCAGATCCTCCAACTAGTCGCAGTGGAACAGCTGAAATAACGGATAGACCGACCATCAGACATATATCTAACTCAAACAAGAGCATCGCTAACGCAGCAATATACGTCCACATTCCTGTTTTGTTTGATATGGTCCAGTTTGCTTTGAGGGTCTGTGAAATAAAACTGGGTTGTAGGACTGCTATCAGTTTAACACTTCGTTTACATTAACAGAACACAATTTTTATTTTAAAACAATCGATGTCTTTATTCTAAAAGCATGACGTTTCGAATAGGTATGCAAAGTTTCAAAAGGATCTGTTAAGAATTGCGGTCTGTAGGCAAAACACAAGACACACAAACATTAGGCGTAGCTCTGTCCCAAGGGGTCGAGCATGCACCAAAAATAATAATAGAGGTCGGCCTTAGGATTAAGGAATAAGTATAAAAAGTAGCCTTAGGCTATAAGGAATAAGTATAAAAAAGTTTTCAAGATGATCGATTAAGAAATGCGGTCTGCAAGTGACACACAGACATAAAAAAAGAAAATGGGCGTAGCTCTGCCCCTGGGGGTTGGGTATTCACCACAAATAATAGGGATGTTCCTTAGGATAGAAGGAATATGTATGCTAGGTTTCAAGGTGATACGATAAGAAATGCGATCTGTAGATGACAAACAAATAAATAAATATAAAGGATGGGCGTGGCTCTGCCCCTGGCGGTCGGGCATGCACCAAAAACAATAGGGATCATCGTTAGGGTATAAGCAATTCATATGAAATTTTTTCAAGACGATTGATTAAGAATTGTGGCCTGTAGGTGACACACAGACATAAAAAGAAAAGAAAATGGGCGTGGCTCTGCCCTTGGGGGTAAAAAAAACAATAGGGATCATCGTTGGGGTATAAACAATTCATATGAAAAATTTCCAAGACGATTGATTAAGAATTGTGGCCTGTAGGCGACACACAGACATAAAAAAGAAAATGGGCGTGGCTCTGCCCCTTGGGGTCGGGCATGCACCCCAAACGATAGGGATGTTCCTTAGGGTACAAAGACTAAGTATGCATAGTTTCAAGATGATACGTTAAGAAATGTGGCCTGTAGACGACAAACAAACAAATACAAAAATGGGCGTGGCTCTGCCTCTGGGGGTTGGACATGCACCAAAAACAATAGGGATCATCCTTAGGGTATAAGGAATAAGTATGTAAAGTTTGAAGATGATCACTTAAGAATTGTGGCCTGTAGGCGACACACAGACACACACACACACATACACACACACACCCACACTTACCTTATACACACAAACAGGGGTGATGGCATAATAGTTAATACTTTTGCATTCTGAATGTGGACGTATAAAATAAATAGTGCCATGCCATTTTACTGAGAGAGCAGCTGACTAAACCCTGTCGAATATAATATTCAAGCATTTATAAAAATTTTATACAATATTATGACTTAGATAAAGCTCTGTACACACTGCCAACATTTTCGGTAACATTTTCGAAAACATCTCGGCAACACACCTGGTTAACAAAATTTTGGCCCAGTATACACGGCAACAGTTCCATAACATGGTGAGCAACTTAACAACCATTCATTGCTGGTAGCTGCCATTTTGTCTACACCACTTGATTGGGTAAAACTCGGCAACATCATTAGCATCTTGGCAACAAAATCGATCCTGTATTTATTTCGGCAACATTTGAACATGTTGCCGAATGTTACCGAATGTGTCCGAACTGTACACACTATCAACTTTTTCACTAACATCGCACCTGGTCAAGCTCAACATGTTACCGAAAATGTTGGCAGTGGGTACAGAACTTAATGATGCTAACATAATTGTTCAACCTGAAACGGGGTATTCATGCGAGGTCGTGGTCATGGTCTATAAAAAGGTAATTTGAAACGATAATTATATTTTTAAACGTCGTATATTGCCGTCGCCCCCCCCCCCCCCCGGTCCGTCCGTCCGTCCGTCCGTCCATCGTCTAGACTACATTAAATTATCATTTGATTATTTTGAAATTGATATATGTCATTTACATAGGTGAGATGAAGAACCCTATTTAATTTCAACAATTTCTGTTAATTTCTTCTGGAGTTATGTCCCTTGTTTCACTTTGTTGTACCTTGTGAACGCGCTAACGACAAAAGTTATCATCCGATCTGTATGAAAAGTCTGTGCATCAATCAACTTAGTGACACAAAGAAGCTTCTTGAATTTCAGCAATTTCTGTTTGTTACGTCTAGAGTTATGGTCATTGTTTCACTTTGTTGACCCCTGTGAACGACAAAAGTTATCGTCCGATCTGTATGAAATTTATATGCGTCATTTAAATTAGTGAAACGAATAAGCCTATTGAATTTCAGCAGTTTCCGTTGTAGAGTTATGGCCCTTGTTAGACCTTGTGAATGCTTTAACAGCACAAGTTATTATCCGATCTGTATGAAATTTATATGTATTATTTAAATTAATGGAACGAAAAAGCCGATTGAATTTCAACAATTCCCGCTAATTACTTCTAGAGTTATGGTCCGTGTTTCACGTTGTTGGACCTTGTGGATGCTCGAACGACAAAAGTTATCATCATTTAAATTAGTGAAACGAACGAGCCTGTCGAATTTCAACACTGTCCGTCAATTTGGCTGCTGTTGGCGTATTTTTCTAATTCGTTTCCGATAAACTAATTATGCAGAAGGGTAGATATCTTAAATTTTATTTTCTTCTCCAGGAAAGGGCAATACGATCCAAGCAGCAGAATTCAACTTTTATGTTGATCCTGAAGCAGCAGACATAGTTTTATTAAATATGTCGTGCAAAATATATATTGTTCCTTTAGAAACGTGCGTTAGATCCATTTTACCATGGGTAAGTAATTGAAATTATAACCGACCCAATGTTATTCTTTTAGAAGTGTGCGCTGAGCTTGATTTGAAACCCGCTTTTTGTTGGGCGAAATCAGGAGCGAACTATAGACGTCTCTTTTAAAATGTGTCTTTGAGAAGAATGGACAAACGAACAATGCCACGTGCATAACACTATAATATAGCTAGTAAGTTTAATTACACTATAAAAAATCAATTTCCTATTTCAAGAAAAATAAGAAAAAATCTTGTAACTAGAATTTTTTTCTGAAAATAAGAAAATATGAGTATAGTTTGAAAGTCAAAAGATTAACTTAAAGTAGCTAAGTCTGTAACTCAATATCATCCAAAATCTTCGACATTGAAAACACGATTTTTTTTTGCAATTTAAATCAGCATTGGTGTTGTGATCTTACCTGGAAAAGATGGGCTGCTGATATCCAATATTTAAGACAAAATAAACATTTTACCATTGGTACACGAATCGTGTACCATAATGCGTTTCAGCGCCATTTGTAACAAGGTGCTCAAAGAATGAGGCTAGACATATTCCACAAGTCATGTCAAACGGTGATATCATATTCTTATTTGGAGAGCATGCGCAATAAATAATATCGGTGTTGACTTGAATAACCAGACGCTAGAAACTGACTTTCGGTTGAGACTTCTGGCGTATTTCGCCGAATATAACTGATGACAATTCACAGTAAAACGGACACGATTGAATGTAAAACAGATTATATAAATTCATATTACATTATTATATGTGTTGCGACTCATTTGTGCGAATTTCTAGGTCCAAACTATTAGCGATTTAGCTCCTTTAAATCAAGAAATATATACTCAATTAAGATTATAATTCATAAAATGTATATTTCTAATAATTTTCTTATATCTAGTTTTTGTGTTCAGTTTCCATTGAAATAAGATAACAGATTCTTATATTGCGCAGGAGAGGACGAAACCTATCGATATTCAGCATTCTGCGGCCATCTTGTCATTTTTTACGCCCACATAGAAATTTTATCATTGATGGACACAGATGAATAAGAGTTTTGATCTATATTATCTTCGAATTCCTTGATTATATGAGCTTCAGCAAAGGAATTTCAATTTCATAAGATTTAAAATTATCATTAAAACAACCAGTCGAATATATTTGTATTTAAAAAAAAAAAAATGATTTTGATTAATTACATAAATATTCTGGCAGTGTCAAAAACGGGACAAGAAATCTTAGTATTCAGTTATTTAATTGTTGCTCCCACCTGGACCTTCTGCTTTGAAAATATATCAGAAAATGCTGAGGCGAATTATACCCCGGCAACACAAACGAGTCCCAAAATACATTTTTAGGGGTATAAAAATTGTAAAATTAAACCAAACATTTAATGCCAATGGTTATCAAATATTAGTCAATATAAGTACAGACACAGAGTACAGAAAAGTGTTCAAATTTGTATCCGAATATCCGTTTACTATACTGTTCGCAAATATTTGGATACTTTAACTAGTCTATTCATCATCTGTAACTCTTATCGGTTTAACTATTCGTGTTATTTTGAAACGGCCCCTATCATCAGTTGTCCCACAAATATGAAATTGTTTTATTACTTTCATATAATTGTAAACAACCGAACTACACAAAAATGTTATAGCAAGGTTCCTACTAACTACTATACTATGTATTTTACCGCCGATAACAGCTAGCCACTTACTTTGCCTATTCGAAAATCCAATGCTTGTGATCAGAAAAGACTGTGTAGACCTAGTTACTTTAGTAACTTAAATTGTATCGGCTCTGCTCTCTCTCTACTTCGTTACTATCAGCTCCTAATGACAACTAATATGAAATTAAGGCTTTCCCCCATCTCGGTTCTAAGGCTTTTTTGGAACCCTTACCGTCTATTTTCCACCGTGATTCTTCTTTGGTCGCCAAAAGAAATCATTTCTTGTCACATCCAACACAAATTTATAAAAATCCAACACTATTTTCATGTAGAATTGTGCGATACTATTGTCCATATGCCTTGGCCAGCCACGAGTCCTGACCTCCTAGAGCATGTCTGGGACATGATCGGGAGACGTGTTCGTCGACGTCAACGTCAACCGACAACACTGCAAGCATTGGCCGTGGCACTGCAAGAGGAGTGTGTCAGATTGTCCCAAATCGTGATTGGACGGTACAGGAGCATGCCACGACGAATTGCTGAATGTCTGAGGATTGGTGGAGCAATTACTCATTATTAAGATAAAATCAAAAACGTCCATTTTCACTTTTGACAGTGTATCTCTTTGCGAGTGAAATGGGGCCGTCAGATGAGCCGCCCATATGAACTGTTTATGTTTATGCGGTGTAGGCAATTGGCATGTTATTAACATACACTGTTTACCTATAATAAAAACAGCAGTACTTTTCCGTAGTTTTGTATTGTTTCTGAATATCCCCTACTTTTTTTTGAATAGTATATATATTACACTTTTAGTATTCCCCTTCTGGTCCAGATGGATATTTGGGGAGATGATGTACACAACAATTCACAAGTCTATTTTCAAAAATATAGAAAAATTACATCTTGAAGAAAATAAAATTGTTTTGAGAATAATTTAGACTTTTATTATTCCTTTTTATACATCCACTTGTGATAAGTGGGACTTACAGTTGTCACCCATGTTCGTCGTTCAATCCATTCATCTACTCCAGTTTTGATATGGTATAATCTATAATTTGTATTATTCCTTTTCAATCTGTAAATAGGAGTAGCTGTTCTTGCGTGAGATCCTCGTTAGTATATGTTTGTTTAAATTTGGTGTGCTATTTTTCAAGATATTGTTACTTAAAATTAATCATAAAATAAAAAGATAATCTATAAAAAACAAATATTTTCTGAAATATTAAAATCATAAAATTTGGAAGAAGATGAGTGATAGATATGATTTTAAAAATCATATGGGAACAATTTTCTTTGCAATCGTCAAGAAAATTATTGTTAATATAAGATTTTCAAAACTTAAATTAAGTTTTTCTTTCTTAGGAAAATATTTCTTAAAACTAGGTAATTTTTCTGGGTATAATAATCTTGTTTTAAGAATTTCATGACCAAATTTTTTCTAACAAATGGTATATAATATTTTTCTTAAAATAAGTTTCTCAAAACTTATTGAGTAATTATTTCTAGTTATTTCTACTGGATTTCAGAAGCTAAAATTCAAGCGCAGACACCGCGACTTCTGGTTGAAGTTCCTAAACACTATCACTCTATACCAATGTTTTATTTTTTCAGGATTTTTATGAAAAATGGACGAATATTGCTACACCTAAAGGAACATTTAACAAGAAGATCAGTCGCAACTCCGCCAATCGGATGTTAGCTGAAGTTACATTACGAACACCGGGGTACAGATCATGTGATCTATTCGCCATGATAGCTTTTATCCATAGCGATGTGGTTTTGGAATCTGCGGAAGCTTCTGCCTCCATTGAATTAAAAGGAGAACTGACCCGGGGTCAGATGGTGGTTGACTGGGACAACCGTTGGAGCAGCAGATTAAATGTCGTTATATATCAAACATTAGACGTAGAAAAAATAAAACACCACATGATGAATATGTTTAATTAAACATACATTATGCAAGAGCCAATTCTGCCTATTGCAGGTCTTTCTTTAGGCCTGAAATGTTATCTAAATTATTAATTAGACATTAATTAACTTATCCAGACCATAATCAACTCTCGATGTCATCGCTAGCCTGCGATGTTTATTAGATTAGGTTCCGATTTGCTGTTCGACTTCTATTCATTATTTAATCATGAAATGGATAATCGAGACTATGTTTTAATCGTACCGACTTTAGTAATGATAATCGAGGTTAGGCCGAAAATTCATCGCTAAATTCAAAGCAAATTCCCTTTACATCATTTAGTTTTCAACTATTATAGTGGGAACTGCCAGCTCTTTATCTTATCTCCCATAATGTATCTTTAAGTCATTTGTATGAATATTTTCTCCCCATGGACAGTGGCGTGCAGAATTTTGGTGATGCATGGGGCCAACTCCCTGATTGTATGCACCAAGATTCAAGTATAGGGCCTAGTAATCAGAAATGTGAGACAGGGGGCATTTTAAATTCCTATCGTTTTTTATAGTTCAAAATTTCGATTTACTTGTCTTTACTACACTAGGATCTGGAAGCGTGTTATATACTCTTCAAAATAAGTAGGGGATATTGAAATGCAAATACCTATGCAGGTTGTAATATGATAAATAGTCATGGACACTTGACATGCTTTGAGAGTATGTTCACAGATGAAGAACTTATCGCCCCAACAGAACCACTGAGCTGCATGTGCGACACGCAATAGTGCCATACACGTGGGAGGGGTTCATTGTCAAATTTGACACTTCAAGGAAGGGTTGATGAAAACTGCCGCTTGCTGGTTTGTCCTATCCATGTTTGCTTTCCTATCGGTTCTTGCATAAGATTTACTGTTTAGCGTATCTTTGTTTTAGTGTATTACGTTTAATTTGATCCGGAGACCTGTTCGTCGACGTCAATGTCAACCGACAACACTGCAAGAACTGGCCGTGGCACCGCAAGAGGAGTGGGTCAGATTGTCCCAAATCGTGATTGGACGGTTGATTAGGAGCATGCCATGACGAATTGCTGAATGTCTGAGGATTGGTGGAGCAATTACTCATTATTAAGACAAAAATCAAAAACGTCCATGTTCACTTTTGACAGTGTATATCTTTGCGAGTGAAATGGGGCTGTCAGATAAGCCGCCCATATGAACTGTTTATGTTCATGTGTAGGCAATTGACCTGTTATTAACATACACTGGTTACCTTTAATAAAAACAGCAGTGCATTTCCGCAGTTTTGTATTGTTTCTGAATATCCACCTACTTTTTTTTGAAGAGTATATAATCCGCCTTCTGGTTGATGGGTGGAGTTAGCAAATGAAACGGTCTGTTACGGTGAGTTCTTGGCGAGTGGTGCACGGAACTGTGGGTATCCCACTAGAAACATCAACGCTGATTGGTTAATCAAATGTCTGACGTCATAGGATCAAAAGTCAGTCGTTTGACCCCTGACGCGACCTTCCACTACAACCTGTCAGATCTTCATGTAGTGGAGGCCATCGAAGGTATAAAAAAACCGAAACGAAATATAGAATGCTCTACAGGTCACAATTTTATCCGATTTTGGGGAAACTTTAAATGTATCTTTATAACCAAAGGATCTCAGCTTATTTTCCAAAGATCGCGGTTGTTTTCGATATTCGAGCATATCGGACCGCAATTTCTTGGATTGTGATTCCTGATTGTAGGAAAAATCGCGATTTTAGCTAGCGGACCCTCTAGAGGTTACAATTTTTATCCGATTTTAAAAACCGTTCAAATATATCACCGCTACACCATAATGACGTATAAGTTTCGTGAAAATCGGACCGAAACTGCCCGACAAAATGACGTTCCGTGTACGCAAGTAGTATAAAAGTATGTAATACCAAGTTTTTGGACCTTCTAGAGGTCACAATTTTATCCGATTTTGATGAAACTTAAAATATATGTTTATATCCCAAAGATCTCGGTTCCTTTTGATAATGACGCATGTCGGACTGTAACATCTTGGATTATGGCCCCTTATACGAAAATCGCTTTTTCAGCTTGTTCTCTGCCCATCTCTTGCAACATGTGGGCGTATCTTGCATGGCAACTGCTTGTCAAATTATCTAACGTATCTTGTACAAAGTTAACAACGATAATTTCAATTTTCAAAAAACTTAATGTTACTCTTTGATTGGATGCTCACCAGAAATGGATGACCGAGGTCGTCGCCCCCTCACCCGTTGCACTCTACTACCCATGGAGACACATCCAGATGACGACGCGACTGCCATGTTGATATTTTGGCGCGCAAGGACATGAAGTTATCATCTTCAAGGTTGTTTAGCTTTAACCATTACATATTATTCTGTAAGTAGCCTAAGTATTTTAGATTGGGACCATGTGCAGTAGTAAAACTACATTATCGAGTTGTTAATACGGTCCCCGTGCAGGCAATATATTACTTTCAATATTGAACGAACTATAAGGTTAATCAAGAACAAACTGAGATGCGATAAACAAAGTGTATTTTTGTTTAAACGAATACTTTAAATAAAATATTTAAATACTCTTTTAAATCAAGTACTTTATATTTTATGCCATTTAGTTTTGCTCCACAATCTATTACAATATCTTGCTATACACGATTGTGTTTGGTGGCGATGCAAAGGCTGGGCCCATAAAAATTCCATTATATATCATGGCCTGTAAAGCGATGAACAAAACATTCGATGCGATAGCCAGTCTGGGAGAGAGAAAACAACCAACAACGACGACTTCGTCAAAAGTAACCACACAACAACCAATCAGAACACAGCGTATTCCAACTATCACCAGTTCGTACCACAAACACAAAATGTCTAACCAGTTTGTCCCCAAACACGTTTCGTCCATAATCTCCCTCCTGGGTGTGACGATATCCAAAACATCCACTATTACCGATGACCGATGCGATTACGGTGAAGACATTTATACGATAGGTCCATCACAGACCGTCCAAAGTCTAATTTCTAAGCTATTTTTCAACACGGAAACACTCGATGTTCGATAGAAACACGATGTACTATAGGAATTCCAAATTACTGGACACTAAACGATGCGATTGACGATCCAAATTCCAAATATTCACACACGATGTAAACACAATACAACACTATTAATACATAATATTCCAAAATTCGATGCAATAGACGATAGTCAAAAGACAATTCAAAAACTCTTATCTTAATACACTATGATTCGATAAACGATGCGAGAGACAACGATAATCAATAGACGATGCGATAGTCGATACAACAGAACACTTTAAAAGTTCTTTAATATTATGCCTCCAAAGGACACAAACAATGAATCGGTCTTTTGATAACAGAATCTCCAATTCTAACATCCACAACACGTACTTATTATCAACACCGGGATACGATTCCACTACGCGACCCAAAGGCCACTTGTCCCTAGGGTTCGACTGGTCGATAAAGAGAACCATATCCCCTTCACACAAATTATTATGTGCAGTCTGCCACTTAGACCTATTATAAGCATGGGAAGAAATTCGCGAATCTCACATTTCCAAAACTGGTTCACTAGATCCTGGATCCGACGCCATCTATTACGAGGATTAAAGCGGACATCATTTATGACTTGAGGTGGTACTAAATGATCACCTACTTGACCAAACAAGAAATGATTCGGTCTTGAATTCAACATTCCTTCGGCATGGTCAACCGCGGTGAGTAAGTGATCATCCTTAATGTCAGCATTGCCTAAAATCGCTTTAATTGTGCGCTTAGCGGATTTTTTTAGTGATTCGAATGTGGCGCTAAGGGTGGGTTTAATCCCCATTCAATTCCCTTAGATGCCAGATTATCACTGACTTTCTGCGTATCTAATTTGTATAATTCACGGAGCTCCCGATTTGCACCTACAAAATTAGTCCCATAAGGTCGGCTTTCCCCGTCTATATACGAAGCGATCTAATACGATCAAGAACGATTGCGTGTCCACTTCAAACTATTTCTAAATGTACAGCTCTTGATGTTAAACATGTAAATAGGCACAAATAACGCTTAGTCTGAATCTTGCCTCGCCCTTGTTTTGTGATAAAAGGACCAACAAAGTCAATCCCAACCTTCGCGAATGCTCGAAGTGGTTGTCCTAAACAAATCAAAGGAAGGGGCGCCATGACCTGCTTAGCAGATTTACATTTACGCCTTTTACATTCGGCACAATGAAATTCAACAGTCTTATAATTACCTTTTAATCCAGTACTTTTAATGAAGGTCACTCAACGTATGCGAAAGTCCTAAATCGTGGTTTCCTTCTGTATGAAAGAAAGTTACTATCAAACGTGTAACATCATGGATCCTAGGTAAGATCACAGGAAATCGAGAATCGTATGAAAGATGACTGGCTTGACGTAAACGTCCGTCAATGCGGATAACACCATCGTTATCGACAATAGGGTTCAACGAAGCTAAATTCGAACGACAGTCTACAGGTTGACCCAAAACCAAGGATTTTTGTTCATCATGACATTCATCACACTGCGCGATACAAATCCATAACTATTCAGTTTGTGCTAGTTCTTGAACAGAAAGTCCATTACTCGAGTTCCTATGTTGTACAAGAGTACGACAGTTTCTTAAAAAAAAGATATATCCAAGCTGTTACCCGTGTTAAGTTTAACCAACTGGAATAACGCTAATCTTCCAAAATCTCGTTGTACACGCTGCGTTACAAATGATGCTACCTGTTTACGTCTAATTTCTTCAAGTCCTTCCTGTGACGGTTCAGGGGAGAACGCAGTAGGCCAGAATTCTGGATTTTGACAAAGAAATTTCACAATCAGCTAACGCAGCGGCAGATAAACCTCTCGTGGCTAGATCGCTTGAATTCTGTTTCGATGGAACATAATGCGATTGGCACGGATCGGACAAGGACTGGATCTCACCAATTCGATGGGAAACAAAGGGCTTATATTTCCGGGATTCACTTTTAATCCAAAACAATACATTGTGGCTGTCACTCCAGTAAGTTACTGTCGAAGTACAAATGTCTAAAACTCGACAAACAGTCTGTTAGACGTAAACCCACTACAGTGCCGGATAAATCTAATTTCGGTATCGATAGTGCTTTAAGCGGCGCTATTCTAGTTTTTACGACGATTAGGTTAACCCTATCCGGAACGCAAATAAACTGCTGCGGCACTTCGGGTGCATCGACAAGGGTATGAACGGCCTTACTAACAACTTTTAGATTCTTATTGATTAGACATCTTGAAATGTTCACATCCCGAAGTTGTGGTAGCTCACTGAACCACTTATTCCATGAATTTAGTAGGTCTCTTGGCAACGGAGCATCCCAGTCAAGACCTTTTATCCATGTTTCCTGAATACCTATCTTGGCACGTACAGTAAAAGGAGCCAAGAGATTTAACGGGTCAACGAGTTTGGCGGTCTTGCTCACGACGATACGTTTAGTCAAATCGGAATTAACATATATTATGGTTCATCTATATCGAAAGTATAAAGCAGTCAGTTTACTCAATCCATAGAATACCTAAAGTTTTTAAAGGCGGCGGTCCCGATTTGTCGGTAATCTCTAAGCTTCCTATTCGATCTTCCTGGGGAATGTCAGATACTACAGCAAGCTCATTTGATGACCATTTGCGAATGTGATAAACGCCTAGACGCAACAGTTCGGTAATTTCATGCATTGCGCACTTTGTGTTTCTATTTGCAGTAATGCGAGTTGCCACTCTGGTTATTCTTACTCTGTGGCACACATCTTGTCAAAACTACAAACAGTGATAATTTGGCTCAGAATAACGTAATTTGAATGAAATTTTGAATATATTCATTTTGCATTATCTTGTTTAAACTTGTATAGCAAGAACGGCCAGCTCTTTATCTAAATCTTACATAATACATATTTAACATTTAATTACTAAACTACCGCGAGAGAGAGAGAGAGACTGGGAGAGAGAGTGTGTGTGTGTGTAGGTTGATGATCTGCCTTGGACCTGTCCCAATTCTATCAATTTGATTAAGACAATGCGCTTGCGCGTAGGAGTCTTAAGCAGGGGGAGGAAATCGGGGGGTCCCACACACCAACCACACTACTAAGATGGCCACGTATTATTATACACGATCTTTGAATGTCTTTGAACATAATATAACACAACACAGTTCTATAGATAACAATCACTATCTGTTATTATTGTTGAATGTACATATAATATATAACACTTTCGCCTTTTTCCTCCTTTGTAAATTTGTTTGCTTGATAACGACCAGTCGAAGTGTCGTGTTTTATATTATTATACAGATTTCTCATTTTATACTAATGGACTTAAATGCGAGTGCCTGGGCAAGGTTCCACCATGGAAAAGATAACCTATGGGGTTGTCCCAAATGACCGAGGTAATGTGTGGACGAAAGGTTTAACGCAATTATATTTTATTTTAAAAAATTTAAAGGAGCATTAGGTAAGATTATATTAAGGGAGCTATGAAAGACGTTGGTATGGGCTTTGGACACATGCTCCTTAATTCGGAGATCTAGGGTCGTTTGAATTCACCAATGTTATATTCTTCACATATACAGTTAATTTGTTAGACACAGCCTTTCAGGAAGGTAGGCTTTGTGAGGTTTGACTTCCCATTAGCATTTACTAATACCTTAGATGATGCGCCTTTGAGGAATGTGGTTTCTATGCCTGCTTCTGTTTTAAATAACCTTCTAAATTAGTGGGAGATGTTGCCGCGGAATGGTATAAAGACTCGTATTGGGGGTGTATGATTTTTGGGTTTATCAAGTTTTGAAAGATTGGATAATGTCGGGTTGATGAATTTGTTTACCATATGTTCTGAATAGTCTTGTGTTGGATGAATACGTCTTTTAGGTGTTGTACTCCCAGGTTGAGGGATTCGGGGTCACAAATTTTAATGGTTTTGGCTCTTTTAGTAAAGGTGGTGATAATGCCTGCTTTTTATGCTTTTGGGTGATTAGATTTGTAGTAGATATATTGATCCATGTGTGTTGGTTTTCTGTACACTGAGGTGGTGACATTGGAGATATCTCTTCTTACCATTACATTAAGAAATGGGAGGCTGCTGTTGGTTTCATTCTCCATTGTGAACTTCATTCTTGGATGTTGGTTATTCAAGTGATTCAGGGGGCGACAGTATTATCTTTTTGTAACATGACGAAGGTGTTATCCATCTTTCTGAACCAGAAAATAGGTTGAAAAGGAGCGGTTAGAGTGCCTTCTCCTGGTGACATCATGTAAATTTCGGAAATCAGCGGGGATAAAGGATTTCCCATCAGTAAACCATGGATCTGTCCATAATAGATTCCAGGCATTGCTTGATCAAAGGAATAATGGTATCAACTTGTAGTGATGTATCCAGTGGTGTAGAAAGTTGTCGAATACGGGTTTCAAGAACTCTGAAATCAAGACTTCTTCTCTTGGCACATTAGTGAGTATATAGGTCGACAAAACCGTACAAG